AATAAAGAGTGAAAGGCTAAAACATACATTAAAATCAGCCCATTCTGAAAAACAACTATTTCCTGAAGAAGCTGTTCTGCCCTTTGATGGAATTGGAGTGTTGGGGAAGAAAACTGTGGATGTCTGTGGACTTCTGAGAATTGTTTAACTGAGATGTGAATGAAAACAAAACAAAAAAATCCATCAAACCATTAAAAAAAAAATCCACAAACAACTAGTACAAAACTGCATAAATTTTGGCTATAAATCAGGGAAAGACCTACATAGCAGACCTACATGGTGTGTATGGTTAGCTAGTAGAACAGGTAATCCAGAAAAGAACTCCATCTTTTGACATTCTAGAGAACTGGTTGCTATTTCAGAATGGTTATAGTAGGCAACATGTTGGATTGACAAAAGACAAAATTTATTGACATGTGATGAGCAGGAAGCCAAATATTTGATGAAACGATCCTTCCTGACTTAAAAAATGGTTACTCTGTGAACTGACACAGTTGCATCCTGATGAAATGACAACTCATATTCCTTTCCTTTCTAGACCAGAGGAAGTGAAACAGCCTTAAATCTACAAGTTCAGTTAAAACAAAAAACAAAACAACCAGCTCCCAACTGCTGTCTGTTCCCACAGAAGATATTGTACAGTAGTGAGAAGGAACACAGCCCAAGAGTAAACACACACACAAAAAAACCAACAAAATTTGGTATTCAGATCTCCCCTTGTGGGATGCAGCTGTCCCTTACTGTTGTCTTTTCTGGTCTTTCTGTGAACCAGAGAAAAAAAAAATGGAAACATTCTCTGGCAGCCATTCAGAAAAACTGCTGCTCATGAACTAGCTTTACTTAAAGGGCATGCTTAGTAAAAGCAGAGTGTATCAGAAATGGCATCAGGGGAGGAGGCTTGTGAGAGCAAAAAAAATCCCAACCAAAGCAAGAAGTGGAGGTATGGCATCTATTTATTTTCCCTCAGCTACTGCAGATTATACTTGCTCAGCCTTCAAATCAGGAGTTGTCAGTGCCAGAGGTCAAGTGGTCTCTTTTCCACTTCCCTGCACTTCAGCAAAATTCTGGAATGCCCTTTTAAATCACGTTAGTGGAGTAAAATCACTGAGACAGATGGGTTAATGAAAGACTTTTCCTGTGCTGGCCATTCTCCTGATGTCTAATTGGATTACAGCAAAGACCTGTAGAAACACAGGTATGCTGGGGAGAATTTAAGTCAGATCCTTCTGTGTAAAGCCTTCAATCCCTTGCCATGCATTCATGCCTTTGCTTACCTGCTTGTGCTGAGCTAAGCAGCAAGATGCCAGCGAGGACAAAGACGGGTTTTCGCTTTGGATCCTCAACCATCTTCCTGTTAGTCCACTACAAGTACACGGAATAACAACGCTGGTGGATTGCTCATTCGGCTTGGCTTGGTCAATGATCAACTAGGCTCTGCTCTTTTGGGAAAACGAGTAGGGGCAATCTCCTCTGCTCTTGTTTGATCATTACTAAAAGTCTGTGTCAGCAGAGGTTTCACTGGTCTTTTGGTTCAAATAGATGTTGACACCCCTTTCCTTCCTACTTCCTTTTCCTGAAGGCAAAAGGAGTAGTTGCAAGGTTTCATAAGATGTTTGTGCCAGGAAGGCTCCTAGCAGAACATTGCATCTAAATATTTTCCTATTGCATCAATGTCTTTCTTTTTGGTGCATGTTGGCCTTCCTTGCAGAAGAACAGGCAGCCTCGCCTGTGACTGTTTTGCAAGAAGCAAAAGAGAAAGCTCATTCCCTCCCCAGGTGGAATTTACTCTACAGCTGCTTTATTTGAAGAACAAAATGAACAAATTGATTTAGTCTGACTGGAAAGATGACCAAAAACCTTTCCAAAAGCACCAGGCATTACCTTCATTCACAATTAACTGGCAATAGCAGTCATTTCCTTACTCCAGCTTGCTCTGGCCAAAGGTAATGGAGAAGAGCAGCTGTTTTAGGCAGAACTTTTTTTTTTTCCCCCCCAAGACACTCAAAGGAAATTCCCTCCAGTTTTTGTGGGGAAGTTTGGCAGCATTAACTGCTTGGCCCCAAGGGTTGCTGAAACCTTGGCCCAACTGCATCTTCCAAGAGACACACAGCAGACATAGCCTGACCCCGAAACACTTGGCTCTGTGGTCATGCAGGCTTATTGTCTGAGGAACAGATTCTCAAAGTTTCTTCAAATACATTACTGAATTGGTGTCAACTGATTGTCTACCCGACCAATTTTCCAATATTTAGCATTGCAATACGAAGAACTAAGCTTCCAGCCTAGCTCAGGTGAATTCTGACACTGCACAACACAAACTAATTTAAGACTGCAACAGAGCCCAGCCCACTCCTTTGTCATTACAGCCACAAATTGCACCGATCTGAATCATTTCTTAGTGCAGAAAAAAGGAAATAAGCTTCTATAATCCTACCAATAAGCTGTGCCATTTCATGCAAGCCTCCTTTTTGCACCACTATGTGAATGTACAGATTTGTTAAACACTCTATCATGCCATAAAAAAAAATACATCTAAAAAGAATAAATCTTTGTCGTATTGGAGATTCTGTTGCCTTAGCACCTTCTTCCCCTGTAATCTCAGTATTTTGCTATTCTATGAACTTTTTCTGCCAGCATACCGCTGTGGTCCCTCATGCAAACACAGAAAAACCACCTCACTGCTCTGTGCTTAAAATATTTAACCAGTAAAACTATTTTAGTGTAAAGGTTTTTGGTTTTTTTGTTTTTTTTTTTTTAATTTGTGAACTTAATTACAGTAACTACAGTTATATCCATTCTGAACAGTACTGTTGGCACCATTATTTTACTCCCCGCAGGGAGAGCCTATAATAACAGTAGGGGCTTCTACGCTGTTGAAAAAGCTTTTAGCCCACACTAAATTGAAGCTTGATGTGATACACTTAAGTCAGTCAACAAACATTATTTTATGCACAAAATTCTTACTATTAAGGATCTGAAAACTGCACTGTTTGCACATTCCAGTGAACACCAAAAGTGGAAAATGTCACCACCTCACTTACAAAGCAACAGCTGGCAGAAATGTATCAGCATTTTCATGTGCCCAGATGTCAGGAGGAAATCTGACTGCAGGAAGACTCACTCAATTGTGAAAGCAATTAAGTGGCAATGGAAACAATGCAGCCTGAGTAGCATTGTGTGGCCTTGGGGAAAACAGGTTGTCATACCAGTTAAGTGGTGCCTAAGTCCTCTCCTTGTCTTCTCTGCTTTCAAGGAAAGGAATGAAACGCCAGCATGGCTTTGCTTATGGTGAGTTAAGAGTGGTTCTACCCCATTATTGGAATACTTGACAGCTCATTTTCTATCCTTTGCCCCTCGCAAAGAAAGCACAGCTTTGGGTGTAGGCAGCATCTGCATACTGCTCCCAGGAGAAACCAAGGGTTTAGTTCCCAGCTCAGCATGAAGTGATTCAAATCCTGAAGAGTGTCCTGGCTATGAGAAGAAAACATTAAAGACTAGCTTAGCAAGCAAGGGGGGGAAAGCGTGGGTGACTCAGATTGGATCCTCAGAAAAAGAAGAGAAAACGATCCTTCAAGTCTTCCTTCAAGTCTTGAGCAAAACTTAAGGGATCTTCCACCTAGAATTGCTACATCAGCATGGACAAGAAGATACATCGCTACCCATCCCTACAGGATCTCAAAACTCTACAGAGGAGCCAAGGTGGGTGTCTAAGCCACTGGGCTCAAGTTTCCCTTTCCCTTCCTCTGCCCCATAAAACCCTAATCATTCTCTACAAATAGGAGCAGTTTCAGTAGGAAGTCAGCCCTACTTTCAGTGCCTGTGGGTGACCCTCTGAGCTTCCTTCCATCCTAAAATAACCTAAGTGAAATTATTCTGTCAAAGAATCACAGAATATCTTAGGTTGGGAAGGATTGTAAAGCCTATCCAATTACAACCTCCCTTGCCATGGGCAGAATGGCCACCCACCAGATTAGATTGCCCAGGATCCCATCCAACCTGGCCTTGAATGCCTCCAGGGATGGGGCATCCACTGCTCTCTGGGCATCCCCACCCTCTGAGTAAATAACTTCTTCCTAATGTATAACCTAACTTACCCCTTTTTTAGTTTAAAACCACTCGCCTTGTCCTTTCACTATCAGACAATGTAAAAAGTCAGTTTCCCTCTTGTTTATAAGCTTCCCTAAAGTACAGGAAGGCCACTGGGAGGTTTCCTCAGAGCCTTCTCCAAGCTAAACAAGCTTAGTTCCCTCAGCCCTTCTTCAAAGAAGAGGTGCTCCAGACCCTGCTTCAAATTTCTTCCTGCTTTCTTGGAAGATCACATAACCCACAGGAAGGCTACAGTGGGCAGCATAGGAGACAGCACCTTTCAAAACAGTTTCATCCAAAGCCCTTGGCTGCTGGGAGGATGTTTTACTTGCCAAGCAGGCTAGTTATAGCTGCAGGAAGCTGGTGAACAGTGTACTGCAGAAAGGTATGATATTTCTGGAGTACTCACTATGACTTGCCCAGAGAGGTTGTGGATGCCCTGTCCCTAGTGGCATTCAAGGCTGTATAATCAATGAATACTAAGATGCTATAATTACAAAATAAACGAGAGAGCTTGGCAAAGCAGATAACGATAGCAAAAAGGGAATAGATAGAAAGCATACCCCCATCCTGGGCTCACTCACAAAACTCCAGCAGAGCAGATCTCCCAAAGAGATCCCTCCCCACTGGTAGCCAGCTCTTAAATAGGTCTAGGAGGGGTGAAGCCAGGCTCCATCCCTTCCTGAGTACAGGAGAATTGCCTTCACCTGTGCTCCTCTGGCTGCCTCATGGCTCGCCTCAGGTGATCAATCAGAGGTTCAGGCCGTGACTCAGCAGTTCCCATACAAAGGCCAAGATGGATGGCACCCTGGGCAGCCTGGTCTAGTATTAAATATGGAGGTTGGTAGCCCTGCCTATGGCTGGGGGGTTAGAGATCCATAATCTTTGAAGTCCCTTCCAACCTAAGCCATTCTATGATTTTATGACTTAGAGCCTTTGCAGCGTAGGGAGCTGCTAGTGGGCTTGAGAACAGGAGCAAAGATAGAGGAACAGAAGAGTGAGCCATGGGCTCCTGTCACTAAGCAAAAAGAACTTCTGGGATTGAAAGAACAAGAGCAAATGGTGTTAAACTGAAAGAGGGGAGATTTAGGTTAGATGTTAGCAGGAAATTTTTTACTCAGTGGGTGGTCAGGCAATGGCAGAGACTGCCCGGAGGAGCTGTGGGTGCCACGTTCCTGGAGGCGTTCAAGGCCAGGCCCGTGCAGCCTGAACTGGTGGGGGGCAACTCTGCCCACTGGATGGGCTTTGAGGTCCCTTCCAACCTAAATCATTCTGTGACTCTGTAATAGGTCTGACACCATCTGGGGCCGGTTCTATGCTATGCAGGTAAGCAAGTGGGTACAACCTAGCCATGGTGTTACTCTTATTTTGTGAAGACCAAGGCAGCATAGCTCAGTGCGCCATGCAGTGTCACTGTAGCCCATGCTACAGCTGCAGTGATGAGGCAAGGGAGCTTGCAGCAGCTCTTGGATGGAGAGGAAATTCCTGGAGGCTGAATGTGCCTCAAGGCTGCTGGAGGTTCAGGTGGAGCTGGCCTGCCATTAGCATGAGCACAAACATGGTAACAGCAGGAAACTGCCCCCTCCCCCAACAGCAGCTCACAGCATGGCTGCTGGAGCAACAGCTTTTTCATGCTGATGGTCACTTAGGTTTCCTAAACTTTTGCAGTTATTTTCACTTTCTTCCTCAAAACTACACTGTGATATTGAAGGTGGGCAGAGCCCAGGACCCCGCAGGCAGACCTGCACCCCTCGCCATGGTGAGGGTGGAGCGGGGTAGGGTGCAGGCAGTGGGTAAGATTCCACACACTCTGTTTGTTTGCATGCTCACATTACTACTATTATTTGTGTTGTGACCTGTGTGCAAATGTTTCTACTGCTGCGTGTGGATTTTATCAAGGCTAAGTAACTTGTCATATCCATATAAGAAAATTGTAAGTCTTAAGTCATACTGGTCTCAAAGAATCGTAGGGTTGGAAGGGACCTCCAGAGATCTCCTAGTCCAACCTCCTGCTAAAGCAGGTTCCCTACAGCAGGTAGCACAGAACAGCATCCAAGTGGGTCTTGAATATTTCCGGAGAAGTAGACTCCTCAACCTCTATGGGCAGCCTGTTCCATTGCTCTGTCACCGTCACAGTAAAGAAGTTCTTCTTCCACCCAAGTGCACACAGTACGTCAATAATACCTTGACTTGTCATGCAAGTTTCTAGTCTTGCAAACTATGTTTGCCACCCCTCTTCCACTATCTGCCCTCACCTTCTGAATCCTAGCCTTCCCACCCTCCCTTTCCAGCGCCCAGGTTTAAAATTCTGCTCCTGTGCCCCCGTCTCTAGCACCTGGAAAAGGATGTGAGAGAGGAGCACACAGCATAATCCATCCTGAAGACTTGCATCTTCATTCTCCTGTGGGCAACTTTGACACGTGGAAGCTGCCAGAGCTTTGCTGCAGCTGGATTCTTCAGCACCCCTGCTCAATATGTAGGAGTTGCTGCTACTCCCAGTGCCCTGCCAGATCAGGCATTTGTCTGATAAAAACACAGACTTGCATATACATTGCTTAAAGAGTAAAGATCACGTTGAGGCAGTGTAGGACTTCAAAGGAGAGTGGTCTTAGTAGGTCTAAAATCAGTCATTGGAAATTCAAGCCAAAACTGAGAATGTACACAAGGTGGAAAAAAGTGGCAGTGGTGACTGTGCTAGATCCTGCACACTGTTGTGGAAACTAGAGAAAGATCTCTGGACTGCCTGCATAAGGTGAATAAATTTCTCACTAACTGCACCAGCGAGAGGATTGCTGTGCTACTTGCGCTGCAGACATCAGCCAAGCTTCTGCCAGCTTTAGCAGGATAGGGACTTCATTCCAAGAATAGATGAGATAAGGAAAAGAAACCAGGTGAATGAACTCGAGGTGCTGGAAGCATTCCATGTCTGTAGAGAGGCTCTTTTGGAAGGAGAAGAGTTGGTGCTTTTGTGTCCTGAGCATCAACTCATTTTCAAGCAGCATTACTGTTTTGCTGGGTTCCTTTTAATGCTTTGCTTTTTCAGTTGAACTTTTTACAAAAATTGAGGTAAGCAAAAACAGCCTGTAAGAGCAGAAGGTACTTTATACACTGTTGATCATGGGCTCACAGGAATGTGTTTCTTGGCAACGCTGTGGGTTGTGGTTTTTTCGTTTTGTTTTGTTGTTTTCCTGAATTCTCCTAGAAGTGTTTTAACCCTGGGGGTAGTTTTCACAAGGCTAAGTGAACCTCTCTAACAGTTCACCATCTCCAGAAGTGGAGATTCCAAATAGACTGTTGTGTGTTGGCCTGGGCATTTTCTGGATTTAACTCACTGTACTAGTGACAGTGTAATTTGTCAGCAGACATCAAAAAAGAGTGCTGCTGGCTTCATTCTGGGAGCTTGCCAGAGGAGCACAACTGTAAGACTGTGAAAGGAAGCTGAAATTCTGGGTCTGTGTTACTGCTCCAGAGATAGAAATGATGGGGGTGAGCTTGAGTTCCTGTTGTTTGCGAAGCAGAAGTGAAAACTATGTAATCCAAGGAGAAGTGCCCTGAGGTGAAGTTAGCTAATAATACTTGTGTGTGTTTAGGCTGTTGTATCAGGTTTTCCTCTTGATGTACTGGTGAGCAGCAAGTATGGGAGAGGTGTGAGTGCAGGTGCTGACCACTGTACCACACTAATTAAGGATGACAGGCTGACTATAATGCTGGTAATGCTGTGCTGACAGTCTACGCATACTCTCATCCTGGAGTACATGCAGAGGGGAACTCACTAGAGATGGAAATTTTCTTATAGATATGTTTGTTTACTATGAAGTGAATAGAAACATAGAAATAAGCTAAAAAATGTTTTGGCAAAAAGAAAACACCCAAGTGTAGTTGTCAGAAAAATAAGAGTCCACATATTTACCCTCACAGAGAGGAATATCTTTTCCAAGCTGGAAATTTAGTCCAGTGGATTCTTCTTGTTAGAAATTTATTTTAGGTGCATCTCCTCAGAGTTTCTTTAGTATCAAGAGGCAAACTTTTAAGGGCTAAGAAAACTTGTTTCAGCTTTACAATCTGTAATTGAGTGTACTTGGCTTAGAGCTATCATTTCAGATCTATGAAGGAACAGACCTGAGCTGCAGAATTTTGGATTACATTCTGTCCTTTATTCAAACACAGGACTTCAAATGCATGGCCAGAGATGCGTGGGGATCTGAAAGTTGTGAGGTTCCCATGCACTCCCTGTCAGAATCTGAAGAGCAAGAGCAAGGAAAACAAATGGGTTGAGATGAAGACAATGCAAGCAGGGGGCAGCAGGAAGGGAACTGGGATTGTTAGTCTGGAAAAGAAGGGGCTCGGAGGGGGGCAAGGGAGGTGATCCTGCCCCTCTACTCTGTGCTGGTGAGGCCTCACCTGGAGTACTGTGTCCAGATGTGGAATCCTCAGTACAAGAGAGATGTGGACCTGTTGGAATGTGTCCTGAGGAGTGCCACAAAAATGATCTGAGGGGTAGGACACCTCTCCTATGAGGACGGACTGTTTGCTAGGGCTGTTCAGCCTGGAGAAGAGAACGCTTCAAGGTTTCCTGATAGCAGCCTCTCAGTATGTAATGAGGGCTGTAAGAAAGAAGGGTAGACTCACAGAGTCTGCGGTGATAGGATGAGGGGAAATGGTTTCAAACTAAAAGAGGTTTTAGGTTGGACGTAAGGAAGAAGTTTTTTGTAATAAGGGTGGTGAGGCACTGGAACAGGTTGCCCAGAGAGGTGGTGGATGTCCCATTCCTGGAGACACTGAAGGTCAGGTTGGATGGGGCTCTGAGCAGCCTGATCTAGCTGTAGATGTTCCTGTTTATTGCAGGGGAATAGGACTATATGTCTTTTAAGGGTCCCTTGCACCTCAAAATTGGAACAAACGACTCTATGATTCTTTCACAGACACTATTGCCTCTTGTGGGCAGCTGCAATTTTCTCTTTTCTCTAATCCCTTCCAGATGTTTCAGGAAAGAAATCTCTTAGCAGCATTTTTTGATTCACTTTTATTCAATTTTAAGTCTTCTCATAACAATCAAGAGGAGGGAAGGTGACACTCAGTGGAGGAATTTCTCACTTCTTTCCATTAGCTACCAGTTTGCTGCCTATCAGTGATTTCTTTACATGATGTCTTTTTGCAGGAAGTAGAGTTTTTCAGGGTTGTGTGCTTTTCTGTCTAGGTCTTACGCTTCTGCTGTCCATTCTAATCCTGCTTTTCTTTGTTCCTTCAATCCATTTGTCTTTCCCAAGAGTGAATGAGCTTTAAGACGTATGTGTTTTGGTGCCAGGAGCGCTCTTATGTGTTCTTATGAACCACGCTAGATCATCAGCCCCCTAAACAACCAAGTAGATTGGAGAGTGCTGGTGAAGACTAACACAGATCCTTTGTCATGGAGGTCACTGGAGCAAGTAATACTGTTTCAGTGCGGAATGGCCAAGCTATCTGCCACCACCCAGGAGTTCTGTGCCCTTCTGGAGTGTTCTGGAGTTAACAGTGGTTGCATGTATACCATAATCAGTCTGGTTTATTACATGAAGTACTGGGATGAACACAAGGCTGGAGCAGGATGCTTTTTGGGTTGTAAACAACTGTGCTACCTTTAAAGAAATCTATATTTTTATTTCTTAAATTAATGTTTTCACAGTTTTGGTGGCTGAAAGTCACATCTGTGGTGATGGGCTTGGAAAAGATGACACAGGTAGGGAGACAGGTCATTCCAAACAGGACTTTGGGGTATTTTTTGTTATGTTTGTTTTTCCCTTGGGCAGGTCAAAATATAAAGAGCTTTTTAGCAGAATTCAGAATAAATAATTTAATTTTTCTTTTGATGTTTTTGTATGTTTGTTAGAACTGTGTTTCTGACCAGTAGTTCAGAAGTCTCTGAAGTTCGCAGAGTACCGGTGAGTTAGAAGAAGATAAGAAAGATTTTATAAACAAACAGAAAAACCCTCCTTCTTTTGCTGCTGCACTTAAATGTGGTTCACATTTCAATTAGAGATTCTTTCAGGTTGCAAGGAGAAAATCACAGCATTAGTGTGACATGTAGGAAGTAAAAAAAGGAGATGTGGATTTTCTTCTCAGTTGTCTCTGGGTTCTTATGGCAAATCTGTGCAGCTCTAATAATGCAAAATGTGCTTTAGCAACTTAAGTCAGTGCTGGTGGGAAGCTGAAATTTTTTGTAAAGCTTTCACTAAACTGGCTTAACATACAAGTCATCTGAAGAATATGCTGTATATATTATATAAACAATGAAACCATCACTTTAAGGTAGAGTTGTATATTTTGCAAACTGTTGTGCTATCTCCACATGCATTTCTTAAAAGAATTTCTATTTGCCTGCAGCTGCGGAAATATGAGGGGAGAATTAATTTTGCATCTGGCCTTTCACAGTATAAAACATATTAATGTGTTCTCGGTCAAGAGATTTCCATTCCACTGTCAGCTTAAACAGACTTGTTGCCTTAGGAACAGTAAATGTTGGTGGATGAATCACTAGACGAGGAGTTGAAACTACCTGGATCCTTGTTAAACAAGATCCTTTGTTAAACAAAACTGGGCAAATGCCTCCTCTGGACTTCAGCTTCCCTCTTGATACAGTGAGAATGAAACTGTATGCAAATCACTTCACTTTGGAATATAATCAAAATATTCTTTATAATCTTTATAATAAGATTATAATCCAATAATCTTTGGAAAGGCAAACTAGTTATATAGGAAGGATCCTCTTTCATAGTAAATATGCAAGTTACCCTTTTGTCTGGTGTTACCTCCTATTTGCATGCAGTAGAATACAAGGACATTTCTTTAATACGTCGTCATGGGATTTACTTTTACTAGAAAGAAATCCTCAAGCAGACCTTAAGTAATGAAGTGCTTTGGTTTCAAAGCTTGGGTGTGCTGCTGAAGAATAAACCTGAGCCTCAAAACGCCAATCTAGAGATGGGATGCTTGTGAAACGTCAGTCTGGGAGATCTAGCAAGCTTCTTAGAGAGGCACCAGTGTTGGTCTTGTATCTTCTGCTTGATTTATATTCTAGGATTTTGAATATATTTATTAGGAAGCTAACAAAGCCCCAGTCCTGTTTTATTATACAGTCTGTATAAATTTCACTTGTACTTTTTTCTAGAAATTCCTTTTCCTCTAGAGGGATATGAAATGTGAACATTTTCATTCAAGTCAGTAAAAAACACGTTGTTTCCCAGTCTGTTGCAGTAATTATTCCCACACCAACATTCCTCTGTTTTCCACTAATAACTGATAATAAGTGCCTTGTTTGGAGAAGCAAGAGGTCCTGATAAAGGGAAATGTCACTCATGATGACAATGAGGAGAAGGAAACTAAGAGACCCTTGGATTTTGCTGGTTATTGATGCAGGAAGAAAGTGTGTAGAATAGTGTTTCTCATTTGGACAAACACGAGTTGTTTAGGTAATGATGAATACACCAGCTTTCAAGGCACTGTCAAGAGTGACTGTTTCACACTTTTTGCTGGAGTGATTTGAATCATACTTATGTAAGTCACACTTGGAAATAACCTCACCAGAACTGATGGGCTTGAAGGAATTGTGTTCTAGGAGCACTGTTGGGTTTGTTGTTGTTTTGGGTTGGTTTTTTTGTTTTGTTTTTTAAGTTGTATGTATATGTGTGTGTGTGTGTATATATATATGTACATATATATATATAGGTGAGGTACAGTGTTGCTCATTTTTAACAGTAGGTGGTGACTGCAGATACAGACATAGTGAGATGATGACTTTCTCCAAGCATGAGCAAAGGCCATCCTGATGGTCAAGAAAACAAGCAGACAAATCAGGAGATCAGCTTGGCTAAGCAAACTACTGACAAACCTTTTTTTTGGCTGAAACAACTAAGTCTATGAACTATGAGAGGAATGCAGCGAGTACTACATGCCTTGATTTGAGCAAGGCTTTTTATGCAGGCTCCCACAGCTGAAGTTGGGATGTCCAAGTCTGAATAAGTATCTGTGTATATGGATAGAAAATGTGTTAGAATGTCAGGCCTGCTGTTAGCAGCTGATGTTTTTTTGTTGTTGTTGTTTTCTTTTTTCTCCAATGGATGCCAAAGGCAAGTGGACTACTGCAGAACTCTGTTCCGGAGCCTGCACTTTTCAATATTAGTTTATTGTCTTGGACAAGGAAGTAGAAAATATAAAAGCTTATAAAAGACTGCTAAATACAGAGTGCAGTTGGTCTGTGTAAGGGTAGGACTGCTGTTCAGAAGGAGCTGGAGGAGTGGTCCAGAGTGAACTTCATGAAGTTCTGCAGGGCAACAAGGCGTCTTGTGCTAGGATGCGTGGTCTAAGACCCTGCAGTTGTGTAGGCTGAGGACTGCCTGGCAAGAGAGTAGCTCTGCTAAAAGGTACCTGTTTTCATGAACAGTGTGCTGAAACATGAATCTATACTGCTCCCTGGCAGCAAAGAAGACTAATAACATCCTACGCTGTTCAGAGGAGAACTTGAGCCAGGAGGTTAAAGGAAGTGGTCATTTTCCATTACTTGCCACTTGGTAGATGATATGTGCTATCCCCCAGAGCTGGAGAAGTGCTGATAAATGTGAGCAAATTGAGCAGAGTGCCACCAGCATGATCAATGGCTAGAGCAAAATTCATTTTGTGAAGCAGACCATAAGGAGAGTGTGGGAGGTGAGTGCTTGTTCCACGGTGGGGTTGTTTGTAGGGAAAAGTGTTAGCTGTTGATGTTGGCAGGATGGTAAGCTGTAGCTGTGACCTCACTCTAAAGTGCTGGCCTCTACTTGGAAGCTGAGTGGCTGTGGGCTTGGTAACTGCAGCTGTCTTCTGTTCTCTGTTTAGGCACTGTTCAAAAGGAGTTCAGCAGCTTTGTGGCCAAGCGTGAGATGACAGTGTTGAAAATGAAGGAAGCAAGTGCCTGCATAGTGGAGTGGTGTTTGTCTGCTTGGCTTTTGCTTAAAGCTTACTGATGTGAAGCTATGGGTGGTGCCATTGGCTCTGCAAGCCCTCTGCTTGGCCTATGTGGAAAGAAGCTTGAGAACATTGTGGCTCCAGGTGTGGAGGAGAGGGGATGTGTGTTCTGTGATGTCTCCTGTGGTCAGTGGGGTCAGTGTAGGTTGGGGCTGTTATTGGTGTGATGTGGGTGTGATGATTGCTATGAAATCAGATGTTTGTGATGGAAGTGCTTAGCAGACTGACCAGCCTCTCTTTGAAACTCTAAAACTGAAATTTGCTAGCATTTGTTAGCATTCATTGATAACACAGCTCTTTCTCATGCTCATACTTCTGTGTCGTGCCTTAACAAATGATAATGGCTTATAGTGGTGATAAGTCTGTGTCAGTAGGCAGAACTGTTATTCTGCCTGTTAAATTGTAAACACTATTGAACATCGTATCAAAACAGAGAGCTACTGCATAACACTGGTGGCTCTTTATTGCGTAGGTATTCAGACACCTTTTCTTTTTTTTCACAAAGAATGCCAAATTTACTTAACTCATGTATTTTTTTTGTGGTTAAACTTGTTTTTAAACCCACAGGGATGCTGTAGGAAAGCTCTTCTGAATAAACAGGGTAGTGAGCCTGAGGACCTACACATAGAATGAGAAAGCTGGTAATTCTTTGTATGGGAGAAGTTGATCAGTGCTTCATCTTGTTAGTGAAATTCCAGGCCACACTGATGCAATGTTTCTTAACAGTTATGCCATACTTCTTGAACTAATGAGGTCCTTTACTCAGGTATCAGTTCTGTGTGCTGTATTTACAGTGGGGACATAACAGGCCTCCATTTACACATCTCCAAAGCAGTTTTGCTCTCTCAATCTGTTCCTAGTGGTAGATGTGCAGACCATCTGTGTAAGATTACACATATATTTCCTGGAATACAGCAACATGGAGAATATAAAAACTCGTATTAATCCTGTCCCAGATCTGAGAGCAGAAGCATATAAAGCTATCCAATAATGAAGTGTACAGGCAAAGCCTCACAGTCTTTCATCTGTCCAGACCAGCATACTGCGTCTGCAGAATTTTTCTCTAATAGAGAAAGCCTGTAGAAAGCTAACTGATTTCACTCTTGTTACTATTCAGTTTCACACCATGATTCCCAAGAAATACTAAATGTTGTATGTTTGGCTCTGTGATCATTGACCTTTCGTTTGTCATGATAAATCTCACTAGTGTGGCAGCAGGCAAAGGACAAGAAAACATCAAGCATTCATCAAGAACAACTGTTGCACTCCTAATGCGATTTCTACCTGTTAGTATTGCACAAAATCCTGTTTAGCCCTTATGTGTAGAAAACTCCAAAGTGACTAACTGTGAAATGGCTTCCAGGAAGAATCTCAAAGTCTTGGTCTTTGTGGCAGCCATGCAGGAGAGGTAGGAATTATTTCCCAATGTGGCAAGTGGGATGTCTGCTTGTAGAAGTGCAGTCAGCTGGCTGCAATAATCGTAAATTTAATCTGTAAGTAAATATGTAATAAATCTTCCCAATTGTTAGCCTGTCTGTGAAGCTTACACTGGATAAGATGATACAAAGGACTGTTTCTGAACTCTGAATCCATTCAATGATGGCAATTAACTTACCTGTGTTTGCGAGGCTCACTGTGATTTACTGTAGCCCAGGCATGCTCTGGTTCTACAGAGCTTTGTCTTTGATGTTGATGGGTGAAAATTGTTGCAAGTAGATACAAATCACGGGATGGTTTGAGCCAGTCTGGCAATTTACTGTCACTAAAAGTGGAGGTCTTACTTTTTGTGCATGCTCTGATGTTCATCATACTCTTCCATGTAGCAGGAAACTGATCCAGCAGGAAAAAAAAATATTGTTTTCTGCCGGAATAACAGGTTAAGTGTGGTTGTAAATGACTTTGATAAGCACTGTGCTAGTTCTGTGAAGGAGATGAGATGCTGATCAGCAGTAAGTACATTATTTATCAACTATATAAATGTAATTCTTTACTAATGAATTAGGTACGTTATAAAACACGTACAAAAATGGAAGTTGAAAAGGGATTAGATTAGGAATGGTCTTGAACTTGCTACATTTTAACCTCCTGTGCTGTAACTTTCCCTTGTCTTCAGTTTCCTTGATTGTTAAATAAGAACTCTGTTTAGTCCTCCAAAGAGAAAACTAAAAGCACCTGCCATTACTGTGTGGGAAGAATAGCAGCAGCATCACTTGCATGTGTGGTGCAAAAAAATTATGAACCTGAATCTTTGCCTAAAAGTAGTGTCTTAAGAGCATAGCTGTCTGATCCAAAGTCATGGAATAACAGCCTTCCTGGTTACTGGCTACTTAGCAAATGGCTGACAGTAGCTGACAAATGTTCTTATTCTGCTCCAGTTCAGTGCAACATGTATCATTTTAAACAGATTACTGTGGTAATTGGCTAGTGCCTATGAGATGCCATGGGTCTAATAGCTTCTTAGAAATGGTTTGTTTATGTTGATGTGACAGTATCTTAATTCACCTTCACACAGTATTAGTGCTTAAAGCCTGCAATATTCTTGTACAACTAGTACAGTTTCTAGAATACATAATAGTTTACGTATGAATTTTTTCATTTTGCTCCAGAATCTTAGATCATAAATAATTGCCTTGTGAACCAAATTGTGACGGTTTGAGCCAGTGGAAGAGACTTCAATAGTGCAAGAGCGGCTATCTGTTCTCTTGGAAGCATTCGAGAAGCACTAAAATTGTCCATAAAGTGATGTTTTGAAGACTAGTCCAGCTGTTTCCAGTGCCTATCTTTCATTCCTCAGAGTGGACGGCCTCCTTTTTGAATGTTGCTGCATGGAGGTAAATAAGTTAAATCATGGACAAAAATCTCTTCTGTATTGTTTCGTACCTGTTTTTAATGAACAACCTTTCAGACATAAACAAAGTCATGTTCATAAATTCAGATAAACAAAATCTAATCAGCTTTCTGTGTAACTTTTGGATCAACGCATGTACGGTCAGGAGAGAGATGATTCGTTCTTCAGCAGTTTCAAATAGATGGAAGTTTGAATTTGCTGTTTTTTGGTATCTCCAACAGGAACTCAATGCTCCAGACAAGCATTTTCAAAGATAGCTATCTGCTGCAGTCAGAAGAAGACTGGCAAACTGTGATCATGACTGGAAAGAGAACTTGAAAACTGAGCTCATAAATACACTGAAGCTAAAAAAGAATCAAGGCGAAAAGAATACCATGTATTAACATTTTCAAAACATCAAGCTGTGGAGTGTGAATTCTGCTTGTTGTTTGTTGAAGCTGGAACGTCATTTCAGTTCATTTTGAAAGTTGTGTACGAGAAGATTGATAAAGGTTTGGTAGTGACAACAAGAGATCAGAAATTTTTCCTTTGTCTTCCCTGTTGGACCGATCCTTGTTTGCAGGGCAGTGTTCAAATTCTCCTCTGTGTAATAGATTAGGAATGTCCATGCCCTCAGTATTACTCAGGCTTCAAACTGAAATTGGATAGGAATGGAAGGGATTCTGGCATACTGCCAATTCTTGTTATACTACTTTGGCCTTACGAAATATTTCAGCCAAATAGTTGATTATTTAAACATCTGAACCATTCTCATGCAAATAATGTCTGTTCTTGGTATCTGTGGTTATTTTAATGAATCAGTTCTGATTGGTACATTGTTAAGACATGTTTGCGAATAAGGTGGTGAGAAGCTTAGTAATAGAGAAAAACTTGTAGCACTATTAGAAATGATAGGAAAACATGAGGTTTGTGAGGAACACGAGGTTAGGTAGTCCAAACTTAAACCAAGGTCAACACTGAAATGGGCCCCTGCTTTACCTACTTTGGTTTTAAAAACCCTCAAAATGGAGACTGGACAGCCTCTCTGGCAGTCTCTTTTGTTGTCTGACTGCTTTAATGTTGAAAATCTGTCCAGTCTGAATCATGGCTGTTTCAACTTCATGTCTGTTATCTCTTGTCTTCTCACCAGGCACCACTATAAAGAACGTGTCTCCATCTTCTTGATGATCATCTTGTAGGTATGGGAAGGCTGCTGTTAGTTACCACCCCCAAAGAATGTTCTTTTCCAGATGTGAACAAACACAGTGCCCGGAGTATCTCCTTACAGTGCCATTGCTCTACCTCTCTGACCATCTTTGTGGTTCTTCGCTGAAACTGCTCCAGTTGACTGATGTATCTGTCCTCTTGAAAGGGTACAAAAGGAGTGGTTTTATAAATGCGGGCTAATTTAATTCTGAGTAGAGGAGGATAATTGTGGAATCATAGAATACTGTGACTTGGAAGGGACCCAAGTCTTTGACTCCAGCTCCTGCCTCTACACAACTTAGGGGTTAAACCGTGTATCTTAAGAACATTGTTCAAATGTTTTTTGAATACTGACAGACCCCTTTAAGGCTTCCCTAGATGGTGCTAGTGAGTCTGCTGGTTTGCCATGGCTGCACCCTGGCCAGAAGGCTGTTGCCAGGAAGAATGTGAAGACCCAGACCCAGAGGTCGCACAGCAACATGCTAGTGCACAGGTCTGTGTCTGCAGTGAGTGCTAGAGCCTGGCCCTTGCAGCACAGGGCAAGAGAGATAGCATCTGTGTTAGATGCAACCAGCTGATGGATTTACGTAGCCTAGTAACTGACCTGAAGGAGGTGGTGGAGATGCTGAGAAGCATTAGGGAGTGTGAAAGGGAGATAGATTGGTAATGCCAGTCCCTGCCAGCCCTGACATCTAGGCATCCATCTGAGGCTCCATATGAAGCACATCACCCCTTACTGCCTTGCAAACAGGTAACAGGAGGAGACCATCAGGCAGACAGTGTTCCTGCTACAGTGAGCTCTTGTGTTCTCCTCCTCCTAACAAAAATGATGGTGAAGTGGGGGCAGGGGACAATGGCAAAAGGTTCATGTTCAGTGATGCAGGCACACCTGCCCATCAATTCCTCCACCTCCCCAGCTGCCCCTGCAGAACAGATACAGTGCTCTTCAGGGACAGCTGGACAGTGGTGGGGATGATGGTTCTTCCTGCTTAGAGGTGTCATCAAGACTAGGCTACCCTTAACATTAAAACCTTCTCAGTAAAGAAAAAAGATGAGTCGTTGTTGTTGGTGACTCACTGCTGAAGGGAGCAGAAGGCCCAATATGCAGACCAGATCCACTACACAGGCAGGTCTGCTGCCTCCGGGGGTTCAGAAGATAGAAGGGAGAAACTTCCTTTCTTATTATGGCCCTCAGATTATTATCCCCTATTGTTGTTTCAGGTAGGCTGTGATGAAATAGGAAGGACTATTAAGAAGCACTTCAGAGTCTTGGGGCAGCTGGTCAGAGGTTCAGGAGCACAAGTGCTCTCCTCTATTCCTCCAGTTATAGGGAATGATGAGGGACTGAACACGATGGACCAACAGATGAATTCTTGGCTCTGAGCCTGGTGTGCCCAGCAGGGATTTGGGTTTTTTGGCCTTGGCTCAATTTACATGAGACCAGGCCTGCTAGCAATCAATGGGAATAGCTTATCCCTCTGGTGGAAAGGGGTTTTATGATGGGAGTTGGCAAGGTTCATTGATAGAGCTTTAAACTAGGTATGAAGAGGGATGGGAGTGAAACCAAGGTCACTAGAAAGGAGCCTGTATATTATATGCCAGGGCTTGTGGGAGGAAGATGTGCTAGTAAGATCTTACAGTCCTGTGTCTTGGTGAGGGAGAACAACACACCTTTTTGTAGGAAGAATAGAAGGGTTAGTGTGAGGCTGGTTGCTACAGAAACATGTAAGTATGGTCAAGAGTGTATTAGGGTTTCTCCCACTCAAATGGTGGCTCATCTTCACTGCATTTAGAGTAATGCATGCAGCATGGGTAGCAAACAGAAGGAGCTGGAGGCCATTGTGCTGCCAGGAAACTATGATATAGTAGTTACCAACACAGAAATATGGTGGGATGACTTGTATAGCTGGAGAGCTGCGATTGATGGCTACCAACTCTTCAAAAGAGATAAGCAAGACAGGAAAGGTGGTGGTGTGGCCCTCTATGTTAAGAAAAAATGTGAATGTCTGGAAACTAATGATGGTGATGATAGGGTTGAGAGCCTATGGGTCAGAATCAAAGGGGAGGCCAGTAAGACTGACATTATTTTGGGAGTCTGCTACAGGCCACCCAACCAGGATGAAAAGGTGGATAGGATACTTCATAGACAATTGGGTGAAGAAGTCCCGAGGTCTACCCCTTGTTCTCATGGGGGACTTCAACTTCCCAGACATTTGCTGGACATATAATACAGGAGAAAGGGAACAGCCCTAGGTGTTCCTGGAGTGTGTGAGAGATAACTTCCTGACACAGATGGTGAAGGAGCCAATAAGGGGAAGCAAAATCCTGGACCTGCTATTTGTTAACAGAGAAGATCTTGTTGAAGGGGGATGTAAAGGTTGGAGGCTGTCAGGGGCAAAGTGATCATGAAATGATAGAACCACAGAGGGGAATCAGCAGAACTGCCACCTTGGATTTCTAGAGTGCAGACTTTGGTCTGTTTAGGACCATGGTCGAGAGAATTCCTTGGCAGGTAGTTTTGGAGGGCCTGGGAGCCCAGGAAGGCTAGGAATACTTCAAGGAAGTTATTTTAAATGTACAGGAGCTGACCATCACCATATCACAGAAGACAAGCTGATGGTGAAGGAGACCAGTTTGGCTGAACAGAGATCTTTGGCTGGAACTTGGGAACAAAAGGAAAAATTATGGTCTTTGAAAGAGGACGCAAACAACTTACGAGGATTAGAAATACTGAAGCTGTGCAGAAAGGCCGAAGCCCAGGTAGAACTGAACTTCGCCACTAAGGTGAAAGGTAACAATAAATATTTCTAATGTTGCTGCAGAGACCAGACTCAGGGCAGGTAAGACTGCACTGGGCTAGGGATCTAAACCAAAAAGGGCTGACAAAAAGGGGGCTTTTTTAGGGCTTTTCTGAAGCCAGCAAAAGCACTGCAATCGGTGGTGGATCCCTTGGCCTGTCCCTGTCGGTCTGGAGGGGGGACCTGAGGGACAGAGAGGACTGGGTGAGGGTCCCTGCTTGATATCATGGGCAAACCCCTCCTGTCTACCTTGCATCCCAGGTCTCCCTAAGCAATAGGTTTGCAGCACTGGACACTGAAGGGGAGGTGACTGAGAAGGTGTGGGAAGGCTCCCCTAAGAGGTTACCAAGGGCGAGGCAGTCTACTCCAAGTGTTGAGACTGCCTCTGCCAGGAAAGAAAAAAGGGTGGTTGTGGTAGGCAACTCTCTTATCAGAGGAACAGAGGGCCCCATTTGCAGACCGGCACTGAGCCGTAGGGAAATGTGCTGCCTTCCTGGGGCCCGTGTCAGGGTCATAACTAGAAAACTCCCAAAGCTGGTTCACTCCCATTACTCCTAGTTCAGGTGGGCAGTGATGAAATTGCTTGGAGAAACTTGGTAGCTATGGAAGGAGATTTCAGGGGGTTAGAGTGCATAGTTCAAGGAGCAGAAGCGCAAGTGATGTTTTGTTCTATACCTTCTGGGGTGGTGAAGGACATGGAGCGGGCTACGAAAACACAGGTAATGAATAATTGGCTCAGAGGCTGGTGTCAAGGCAGGAACTTTGGGATTTTTGACCATGAGGCAGTCTACTCAGCCCCTGGCCTGTCCATGGATGAAACTCGCCTATCTCAAAGGGGGAAATGAATCCTAGTGCAAGAGCTAGCAGGGCTTACTGAAAGAGCTTTAAACTACATATGATGGGGAAAGGGGACAAACCAGAGCTCACCAGAGGTAAGCCTAGAGGAACAGTGCTGGAGCTGGTAGTGAGGCAGATGTCTCAGCAGAAGTGCATCTACACCAATGAAAGCAGCATGGGCAACAAGCAGGAGGAGCTGGAAGTGCCAGGGGAGGTTTAGGTTGGATATCAGGAAGAATTTTGCAGAAAGAGTTGTTAAGCACTGGACGAGGCTCCCCAGGGAGGTGGTTGAGTCTCTATCCCTGAATGTGTTTAAAAACTTTTCGGATGTTGTACTCAAGGATATGATTTAGCAGAGGGTTGTTAGAGTTAGGGTAGTATGGTTAGGTTGCGGTTGGACTTGGTGATCTTTAAGGTCTTTTCCAATCTGAGCAGTTTTATGATTCTATGAAATTGTGTTCAACCAACCTCATAGCCTTCTATGATGGAGTCACTGGCTAGGTGAGAAGAGTAGATGTCATTACCTTGACTTCAGCAAGGCTTTTGATATTGTCTCCCACGACATTCTGATAACGAAGCTGAGGAAATGTGTTAGATGGGTGGACAATGAGGTGGGTTGAGAATTGGCTGACTGGCCGAGATCAGGGAGTGGTGATCAGCAGTGCAAAGTCTTGGGACTGTTGGAGACCTGTGACTCACCGCTAGTTCCCCAAGAATCAGTGCTGGACCTGGTCTTGTTCAGTATCATTGACAACCTTGATGAGGGGATAATGTCCAGCTCAGCAAGTACGCCAACGATACAAAGCTGGGAGGAGTGGCTGACATGCCAGAAGGACCTGGACAGACTGGAGAGCTGGGCAGTAAGAAATCAGATGAGGTTTAACAGAAGCAAGTGTAGAGTCTTGCACCTGGGAAGGAATAACTGCATGTATCAGTACAGGTTGGGGGATGACCTGCTGGAGACGAGATTTGTGGAGAAGGACATGGGAGACCTGGTGGGTGACAGGTTGGCTATGAACCAGCAGTGTGCCCTGGTGGCCAAGAAGGCCAATGGTGCATTAAAAAGGAGGGTGGCCAGCAGGTCAAGGAAGGTGATCCTCCCCTTCTACTCTGCCCTGGTCAGGCCTCACCTGGAGTAATGTATCCAGTTCTGGGCTCCCCAGTACAAAAAAAGACAGGGATCTCCTTGAAAGAGTCCAGCAGAGGGCCACAAAGATGACAAAAGGACTGGAGCATTTCCCCTATGAGGAAAGGCTGTGTAACCTATATCTGTTCAGCCTGGGAAGAAGAAGACTGAGGGGGTATCTTATTAATGTTTAAAAATATCTTAAGCGTGGGAGACAGAGATATAGCCAGCCTCTTTTCAGTGGTCTGTGGGGACAGAACAAAGGGAAATAGCCATAAACTGAAGGATAGGAAGTTCCACACCAATATGCAAAAGAACTTCTTCACAGTAAAGGGTGATAGGAGCACTGGAACAGGTTGCCAGTGAGGTTGTGGAGTCTCCTGTGGAGATATTCAGGACCTGTCTGGACACCTACCCGTGCAGCCTGCTGTAGGGAGCCTGCTTTGCAAGGGGTTTGGACTCAATGATCTCTGGAGGTCCCTTTCAACCCCTTTCAACAATTCTATGACTCTGTGACCTTTACCTACAATGTCAGTGTTCTTAATTTGTCCATTGCAGCCTGTCCCTGCCTGTTAGCTTTGTGCTAGATCTGTGTCAGGAGTAGCCTGCTTAGCCAAACTGATTTCCCGATTTGCCTGCCTGTTTTCCTCATCATCAGGATGGCCTGTGCTCATGCCTAGAGAAAGTGCCTACCAGCTGCCTCAATAAGCTGAAATTTTCTCTAACAAAGTGTAGGGCTGATACTCTGGTGCTTGTCTTCCTCACTCCGCTAAGGATCTGAAGCTCCACTTTTCTTGATCACTACAGCCAAAACAGGTATTCATGACTCCATCCTCATCCTGTTCTTCTCTGCAGGTGAGCAGCAGATAGAGCAGTGCAACATCACCTCTTGCTGGTCCAGCCTAGGTGGAGGCCCCTGGCACTGCCAGGAAATCATCTTCACTGCCTGAATCCTGCTGTGTTGCCTTTCCAGCAGATGTCAGAGACACTGATGTTCCTCCTCCGTATATGCCTGTTATTCAGAGTCTTTCTTGAGCTGTTTATGGAAGCCTTTACCTACTTCCTTATGCTGATCCATAGACTTTAGCCTGCTCATCATCCCTGCTGGTCTGTTCTGTGATCCCCACACACACAAGCTGTGGACCAGCCAGTCTGTAGCTGGTCCTGAGCAGAGTTCCATGCATCCAAGTCATTCTTCCACAGAGAGGACAGCCCCTCTCCTTGTCCTCCATGCCACTGTTTCTTGCAGGGTTTCTGCCACCCACCGTGGTGCTTCAGTCATGCATGTTGTCTGACCGTGTCCCAGTTATGCCAGTTATGGTTCTGTAAACTTGCACACAAGTTCTAGTTTTTCCTGCTTGCTTTCCACGCTGCACTCAGTTGTCCATGTACTCACAGCAGTGCAGGAATATTTAACTGATCTTTTGTTAGCACTAGACCAACTTAACTGCAGTCTGTAAATATGTTTATAATTTATTGAAAGAGTCTTATAAAGATATAAAATATTGTATTTTTGTGATACATGCATGCGCTCACACTTTATCTTAAAAGTCAATTACTAATTCCCAAAATAAATAAAATGCTTTATTTCCTAAGTCACAGCTCCTGAATCAAGCGTCCTCCATTGCATCTTAAACAGGTTTACCAGGCTGATGCTGTCTGCTTAATTACTTTTTAACAAGTTTCCATTCAAAAATGTCTTTTGTCATGTATATTGTGTTATGGGTAAACATACGGCTTGTTTCCTGCCTGTCTTTCTTTTCTATTGTTATTAACATGAGAAATAATGGTCCAAAAATTATTTGAAGGAATTGGTTGAAATTGCTCTCAAAAAAAATAAACCAGTTGATGAAATGTATTTCATTTAGTTTGTGCAATTTAATACCAAGCACCATACAGAAGTGTCACAAAAGGTGTGGTTTTGAAAATTCCTCTCAAAGCGAAGAAGGGACAGCCTATTAGTGAACAGTTTCTGTTCACTAAGTGCAGTTGTTGGAGAAGACTTTGGCACAAATTGTGAAACATCAGAGCTTTATCATAAATAAATCAACTTCTTTTGCAAATTGACGTAAGACCAGGAGCTCCACACCCTGCCTGCTTTCCCCTACTTACTTGTCAGGGTGCCTGCTGTGCACAGGGTGCCTGCTGTGCACATGAGAAACTTCAACCAACACTGAAAAGTCTGGACAAATACAGTTTTCAAAACTGTATTCAAGTTCAACTGTTGTTGTTTCTTCTTGCTTTTTTGATGAGTGGATGTATTTTTTTTTAAGAGGAATCTGTGGCCAGACATTTGGAAGAGCAAATGGGCCCAATTTCCTGATTTGTTGCTGGTTCAGTGACATTTACAGCACCTATGTCCCCACTCTCTTTGTAAGTATCTGCAATAACTAATGAAGAATGAACATTTTCTATGTGAAATGTTATGTCCAAACTTACCTTGCAATGAATGCAATGATAGGCAGCTTTTAATAACAAAGAGCAGAAGCTTGCTGGAGATGCAAACATCTACTTCTGGCTGGCGTATGACATGATTCCAAGAAATGCTGACTGTATGCCAGGAAGTGAGCGTGGCCTCTGGCGCCCTCAAATCCCCATTCATTGCCAGTACTGAGACATGATACTAGTAACAGAAATTGTTGGTAAGTAAAAGCTGCTGATAAATGCTTGTGCTCGTAAGGCACATCCCAACTGATGACTTTTTCAGTACTTGGTTCAACCAGTAGAAATGGTGCCTGCAGGAGAAGTTATTCCTCTTTCATCCCAGAATGAATGAGATCAGAGTTTGAGTGATGGCGTAGAAGCAATATTGTGAATTTGGGGTATGAAACCACAGTAGACAAGGCAGCTTTGCGTTGTGCTGATGCTCACAAGCAAGCTTTCAGTTGTTTGCAAACACCCTGTACTGGATCTAGCAGGACTGGTTGAAAAGTGAAACCATCCTTGTCTAACCATTGGCTGTACGAACACTAGATGTACTCTTTGATTATAGCGAAAGCAACTATGTGAGTGAAAAGGCTTCATCAGTGCCTGACAGCCAGTTTTACATGAGTCTCTGCAAGCAGAGTTGAGGACTGTGGCTTCCAGGAGCAGGACCGCAGCAAAAATTGGGGTTAGCAGGGGTAGAAATGCACATAGTTGTCTCTTGATCAGACTTGTATCTCTACCTTAAAACAGGCTGTTAACACCCACTAGGCTACAAGGAGATGATGCATACTGTCTGTGGCACACTGCTTATGGAACATAAGTTTGCAATGCTCTTCAGCAGCAGATTAATTTACTAACATCCGAAACAGCAACAGGAAGGTGAGCTTTTGTGCTCCTGCTGTCTCTATGTGCAGTTTGTACTGCTAAGTACAAGGACATGAGACTCTTGCTCACATTAACAAAATTCTGAGGATCCATGCCTTAGGTTTTAACTCAAGGAGTCTTTCCTTCTTCAAAGGATGTGTGTAAAGGTGGCCTTGGGTACCATGTGGGCTACTGTGATTTAAATGCAGCCATGGGAAATATCTATGTACCCCAGTGATGTTAAGTCAGTTTGTTTAGTCAAGTTTTATATGACCCAAGTAATTCAGCTTTTGCCTTATTTCTGTGGGAAGTCTGAGGAAGAGCCTGTGAGTCTCAACGCTTGTCTATTTTTTTTTCTAGAAAATAGAGAAATAAACTGTCTCTCTACTTAGAAAATCCATTCCTTGTCTTAAAAATCTCAAATTTATTTCCCTTTAGAATGTTTTTCCCTCTTCTTTCATATCTGGTATAGCTTGAATGCCATTCCCCTCCAGTGGGGGATTCAGTGTTCTTCAAGAATGCATTTTTTAGTTTCCTTTTGTCCTTGTTTATCTTTTGGCAGAGAGAAGAGAGTGGAGAGTTGGACCAGGAGGATGGACAAGGGAGGGACTGAGTGGTGAATGTTAAGTGGAGGTAAGTACAATTAGGAGTCAGAAATGGTGTGTACACTACTGCAAAACAGAGTGTTTTTTAGAGCTTCAAGGGTAAATTCAGTCCAGAATCATCTCCTGACATTCTTGCCTTTTGCTGCAACAGGATGTGTCCTGCAGCCCTGGCCACAGAGGACCTATGACTTTCCACAGGTAGAATCCCTGCTAGTTCTGATTGAAAATTATATATTTGGAAATTTCAGTTGAGTTGGAATTTTTAATTTTAAGAGAATGTTAAACTAATTAGCTAATCTAACTAAAATAATCAAGGAAAATCATTGGTGATGAAATGGGAAACAGCATGAAGGTTGAAAATGGGTAGAGAATCTCTACATGCCAAGGCGCAGAGCTGTTTGCATCCTGGCAGTGTTGCTGTGGCAGGGACAGGACTTATGCTGGGACATGACTTGGCAGTATGGGAGACTCATAAGTTCCCAGGTTTCCTCAATACCCACCCCTTTGCTGAGCAGAGAGGGGAAGTTTCTAAGGAGGGGCATTGTTCTGGGAAGGGGGGATTCTGTGTTCTGCTATGCCATGCCATGCTATACTATGTTATACTGTAGGAAAAGGTTCCTACCCACTTACTCAGACAAGTGATGTGGGATTGGCTTACCCTGTGGGATGGGATGTTTGTCTGCTGATGTATTCAAGTCTCCCCTCCTCCCTCTCCCCATGCCCCCTTTTTTTTTTCTAGATGAATTAGAAATTGGCTGATTCACAATGTCTTCATTATCTTTAGATTGTTAGAAGAAAGGCCTGGACCCTTGGGGAAAATGATCTCAACGATATCATCATGATTTAGGTTAATGCACAGCCCAGGAGGCAGGATGGGCCAAAGCCTGGGCCTGAAAGCAGGCTGTAAGGAATGGTCTGTGGGACTTGGAGGCTGATGGCCTTAGTGGCTGAAGGCCAGCCTGTAGGGGTGGGAATCCTTTTCCTTGTAAAAATATGCACATGATCCAGGGGTGCTGGAGATCACATTTCCCATTACATGTGAACTGCTAGGGACATGTGTTTATGCGTCAGGCTGTAGGAACCCTCCTACCCATTTTCACCACTTTTCCCTTCACCTCTTTTACCTGTGCTGCTGAGGTTCCATGTAGTGTTTTTGTGATCACTGTTCTTGCACAGCTGCTGTCACATCTGCTCCAAAGCTTGCCAGCATCCACAGAAAGAGCTCTTGCTGGCTTCCCGTGGGTGTGGAGCTGCTTGGTGCCTGTGACCAGCCTAGCAGTAAAAGGTCACAGGGAATAATACCTAATTTGGTACAGCTGTCATGTGATGCCTGAATGTGTCAGTGCATGGAATACAGCCAGAATATTTGCTGTTCTCTGGCTCCATCGTGGCTCTGCAGCAGAGATTTGTGGAACAGCACCAGTTAAATCTGAAACTCCTCTAGATACTCTGCAGAGTATCAGCCAGAAGTGATTTAATAATGCTTTCTGTAGTCACTGTGGTGTCACAGTGGTAACAGGTGGATGGTGAATTGAAACGTTATAATCATTAACCAACACACTCAGTATTAATAATTCTCGATTATTTATTTTTAATTTTCAGTTTCTGGAGCCAAATAAATGATGGCAGAAGTTCGCTATTATGGCAGCATAAAACAGTGAAAAATTAGAGAGCACTGAATTCAAGATTTTCTGCACTGTCTTCACTTATTTTCCCTGTGCATTCTGATAATAGACTGGTAATTTCAACACCCAGCATTAGCAAATGGATTCTATTCATCATCCCAATGATCCAGCGCATCATAATCCAATCATCATCCAATGACCCAGCACATCACAAGTACAGTAGGACAGAGGTTTTGACGCCTGTTTGCCCAGTTAGCATAACAGTGACATTATTGGCATTTTTTGAGCACATTTCTGTCAAGCTGTATCAAAGCTTTCAGTGGTTTGGGGTTTTGTGACCTTAGTGCACATCATTTGACAGGTTCAGGTGCTGGCTGGGGCAACATCAGCTGCAGTCAGAGCTTCCATGCAGTACTGCAAGGCTGTTCCAGTTGTACCAAGGTACAAAGTATATTGCCAAAGTAGTGCAGTCATCGACTACCTTGGGATTGGCTTGGTAGCCATGAAAACTGTAGAAATTAAAGATAAATGTGTTACAATGTGGGGCTGGAGATCCCATAGAAATAAATACCGGACTGATTCACAAACCTGAGACATCTTCTTACAGGTGAACCTGGATGCCAGCTCTCGGCAGAACCACAGCAGAGCTGGACAAGCATCTCTTCTCCAGAAATAGTATCCACACTTGATTGCAAGTTCCCCCATGTTAAGATTTCCTAGTGCCGTGTGCGAGAGGCCAGCAGGCACCGCTCGAGTATCAGCAGTCACTCGCAGCTGTGTGGGAAGGGCTGCTCACAGCTCTGCCTTCCGCACGCACGGGTGCTGTGGCTGCAGCTCAAGGCTTCAGTCTGGTCTTTTCAGAGCATGGCCCGAGGGCTACGAGCTGAGCTGTCAGTGCATTTCTCTGCTTCCTTGCATAAAGTTTGCACAAGGTTTGTTTGCTCAAGGTTTTTCTTGGTTACTGCAGACCGTTCTTGGATTTCTGCTTTTCAGTATACCTAGAAGTAGCAATGACTTTCGAGGCAGTGCGAAGCAGACCAGCCGTAATTAAATCTCCCAGCCACAAAAATAGTTTAAACAGGTACAGCTGGAATGGAGACAGAGGTGGGGGCAGAATGGACAGTTTGTCATTGCCTTATAGCAGGGCAGGGCTGCGCAGCAGTAACGAGGGAAAGGCAGGAAGAGGGCAGAGAAGGACTGCAAGAGAGACAGCTCGGAAAGCCAAGCGAGTGACCTTTCTGCTCACTGAAGTGAGACTGTTTCCTCCGTGTGCTGACATTTGCTCCAGCCCTGTTCTCCTGCTGCTTCCTTCACCTCTGCTTTGCTTCATAATTGTCCTTTGTGTTGCTGGCTTTCCCCACCCACTTCCATCTCCTTTCCTTCAGCTTGCCACTCTCAGAATCCATCTGCACAAGCCCAGCCAATACAGGAGGAATAAAAAGGAGAGCTGCGGCTCTGCTTGCTATCTGGTCCTTCCCATTCCTGTAGGCTGGGTCTGCCTTACTCCACATCTCACACCACTTAGGGCTTCTCTTTCAGAAGGAGAAGGTATGGGGATCCCTGTTTTGTTCCTTGTCTTCTGTCCATGGAGGCCTCTGGGGTTACTTGGAGTTTGACCCCTGTAGGTTCTCATACCCTGACTCTGTTCTTGAACTTCACCTCTTTGCTTACTGATATGTTGTATATTGTGCTGCCGTGTTTATGCTGTTGCTACTCACAAACAGCACTCTGGGACTTTGACTCTGTTTCCCCTTCCTTCTCCCTGCCTGTACTTTCTTGTATTTCATTTGTTCATTATGTAGGCTGGACGGACTGGTGACTTCCAGACTCCTGAAGATCCACATTAGTGGTGTTTAAAAAAAAAAACAACACAAGTGGAAAAATGTTTAATTTTTTTCCCTTGGACTGAAATCTTTCAGGATCCTTAAGCTCTTACAAAGACATGGAGAGCATTATCTGCTTTTCCTCCAGCACTCCCCTTTGGCTCGGAGGGGGAGACAGTTTGTTTGATAAAATGAGGAACCAGGAGGTAGGATTCCTGCTTTCCGCTGTCAGAAATCCGCCACTCGCTGGCTGTCTTACTTGGAGCCTGTCACACCAGGTTTATGTCAAAGTTTACCTAACTGTTAAAGAATAGCTGTTGCTACATTTTCTCAGGCTATTGCCTGCAGGGGGTGATTATGGAAAAGGTAACATTTCCCCTAATCGCTGAGCTGGAGTCGATTTAATTTGCAATTTGTTATGAAATAGTGGGTATTGTTTTACCTTTCTTCATCCCAGGGCTGGAGGAACAGCACAGTGAGTTCCAGAGATAATGGCAAGCCAAATAATTAGAAGCCTGGCTCCTAGGGATGATTTGAGGATTAATGGCTGTTTGTAGAGCGCTTGGAGTTCCCCAGCTGCAGTGTATGTTTAGCTCTGGGACACAGCGGGCTGCAGGTGCTGGGCAGTGGGAGTGCAGCCCCAGCACTGTGGCTGGCCGGGTGCAGAGCAAGGCTTGTGCTAGATCTGGGGAGTACTGTGTGGGACAGGGAGGTGGGAAGCGGGGCTCTCCTCTCAGGCTTGTTGCTTTTAAGCAGCACTGAAGGGAGACACACATCCACAAGCACTTCTCTGGCAATCTTTCCAGTCTGTGTACCAATCTGCAGTACCTTGGCGGTGCTCAGCAGTCAGGAATAAATGAAGAAAACAGCTTGAGTGGCCCCCTGATGCCAACCAGAGCCTGCTTGTTCTGTTCCCCTTGGAAGCCCATGGGTGACCTCTGCAGTTTGCATTAAGCCACATCTCAAGTGTGCTGGAGCTAACATGCTACAGAAGGCTGTGGCTCGTCAGTGCTGGGACCATTCACTGTCACTATCAAAAGTGGGAAAACTTTTCTGTCAGGTGCCTGTGCAATGTCTAAGACCCAGCCTGGCTTTTACAGCCCTAGAAGGAAGTGCTGAGTGCGCTGCTTTCTAATCTTGCCTTGGGAGGTTTTCAGAGGAGAGGCTGTGCTGTGGGAATCCGTGTATGATACAGATGGATCCAGCCAGCTTGCACTTGTTTGAGTCCACGAGGAGCAGTTGAGGGCCAGGCACTCGGGGAAAGTTCCCTCTGTCCCATGGGAGAAGCACGTGGGGCTGGAAAGAGCCTTGAGCCTGCAGGGGGGAGGAATTTCTCCTTGGGCCTCAGATGTCCCCCAGGGTGGTGCGGGGAGGAGCCTGATACTCCCAACATTGTCCTAGGCAGCAGCTGGCGGTGCTGTGTGACAAGGTTTTGTGGCACTGAGGTGCAGTGATTGAGTGTGCTAGCAGGGGCAATGACCCCGAGGGAGTAGAACAGGTCAAGTTATGGCTGCAGTCTGTCTTCTGTACAGAGGCAGAGAGCCCATCCCAAGCTCCTTACTGCTCACACCATCCTCTGGGGGATGGAGAACTGCTTATTTCCTTCCCCGTGTAGTGCCAGAAGAGCAATCCGAACCTCTGAGCTACGGAACATCCTCCTTTCCCTTCTCCTCCTCTAAGAGGCCTGTTTTAACCTTTTGTCCCATACAGCAGCAATGTACATATGGCCCTTCACCTGCTAGGGCAGTGCTCCTTGTGCCCTATGTGCTGAATGCCACTGGTAGAACATTCCACCTTCCCTTTGGGTTCTGAGAGGCGATTGAGCCGTTCTGTAAGTTCGTATTGTGCCAACTCAACACTCCCTGCAGTATGTCCAACACTGTCCTGCTAAGAAGATTTTTAAAGTCACTTCTGATATTCAGGGGCCTCGCTAATGTCATTATCGTCCATCAAGTCAGCAGAACTTTACTGGGGGACAAACGTGTCATCTGATCTTTGGCAAAACGCTTCTCTTTGAAATCTTGACTCGGTTACGGGTAATGCCGGTAAAAGTGCTATGTCCAATCCCCACCAAGGAGAGCAGCATGCTGAAGGGGAATTAAAAGGCCATGGGAATTCTCAGCATAATTTTATTATCATGACCTTTAAGGAGACAGTGGGGGGATGGGTGAAGAACACAAAGAAGACACTGAATACAGACCACACAGACAGACAGCGCTTAAGGGGGGAAAGCAAACCCAAAGTATGTAAGGAAAGGAGACAGGAGAAAAGAGAGATGGGGCAGAGACTGAATGAGACTGGCAAGTAATGGCAGAACCACCTCCTTCCAGTTTATCCAGGGAGTGGCAGGAGTAGATTTGGAGCTCTCCATCCATGAAAAATACCCCTCTGTGCATCGTTCTCCATTTTCCTGAAATCTCTGCTGTTCTTCCTCCAGGCAACCATTAATCTAATATTAAGCCCCTTAACCTCTCTAATTGTTCCCTTTCAGTGTCAGCTGGTTTCCTATTAACCTTTCAATCTATCCGTAATGCAGTTACTTCTGATTCCAGCCAGCCCTGGCTCTAAAGCTTTACCTCCGGCAGTGAATTTTCCAAGCTTTCACTTTTTTTTCTCTTGCTTTTCTGTAATGATTATAACTGCTGTTAAGGAGCCAGTTTGAACCAGCCTCTAAATGCACAGGGCTGAACCACTTGGAGTCTATAAATAGCCCTTCGCTAACCTTGGGCCTTGTTGCATTAAGTTGATTGGCCTCTCTCTCTCCGTTTCATTGCATCTTCCTCTCTCTCCCCTCTCCATTATTGATACTGGTTCTTTTGTTGCTATCTGAGACACCTTCTTGTTGGTAACGGGGTTGGTCAGTCCTAAGTTTTTCTCTCCTGAACAAAATAGTTTTGTTGCTGGGGAAGTGTCCCTAGAATTTTTTAATAAGGAAAGCAGAGCGACACAGGCTGAAGCAGCAGGTCTGAAAACAGCCATGTCGTACAATAAGAAATTGCCTAGCTGAGCACCAGTCATGGTTCGCTCCCTATGGGCTGGATTTCTCCTGTGACACACAATGTGATTACACTCAAATACAGTCTCCTGTACAAATCCCATTGTGCAGTACTGAAGCCAAGATGTCTGTCTGCCCACAGACAAATCAGGAATTGCTGGCTTAAAGTTGAAACAGAGATCTCAGAATGCTAAGTAAACTGCCTGCTTCTCAGAAAGATCCCCTGGAGGCTTTGACATCATTAATCAATATACAACTGCTTGTCCCTGTAACAGGGCAGAATATGGTTTGCTTCGATGCCCGTTAGATACAGCTCTGTGGTAGGTTTGTGATGTCTCTTCTAACCCCACCTGCTTTTTCAGTGCTGATGCTGAGCTCTCATGAACCCTGGTAGATCTCCTCAGTGCCTGCAAACAGCTTTTCTTTTTTTTTTTTTTTGTAAAGTGCAATGACTACTTGCAGTGAAGTCTGATATGGAGCAGTTGCATGAGATGACCTGGTGTCTCTGGAGTCAGTGTAAGTCACAGTTCTGCATTGAGGCAGGGATTGCATTGCATTCAAAAACTGCTTGTGTGCAGTGATGCAATGACATCTGCCAGTGCTTCTCAAGTTCTGGGGGCACTAGCACAGTACCATAATAGGTTTGGTTGGTGGCTCCAGCAACAGCCACAGCTTCTGTGGATGGACAAGTACCACACCAACACAGAAAAGCCCGAATCAAGGGATATTGTCATGCCCCTGTTTTGCTACGTGTCCAGAGGCAAAGTATTTATCTGCAGAGCTGCATTTTCTCTGATGAAAGAAGAGAGAGGCACGGAAAACTTTTGTGGTTTGTGTATTGGTTGATATTCACAGTCTTTTGCTTCAGCTCAGGAGGATTTGTGTGTCTGAAAGCTCTTCTGTTTTCCCTAGCTGTATCATTTGTCTAATACCAGCTGTTACCTTTCCCTGTGAGTCCTGCTTCAAGGTCAACAGCGGCTTACCAAAATAATAGGAGCTATTCTCTTCCACTCTCCATGCAGCTCTGTGCGTCCCTGCTTGCCCACTCACTGCTATTTCTTGCAGCAAGCCTTTGTCTTATTTTCTGGCAATGTTCTTGATCTATGCTAGGGCAGTAAAGAAAAGCAAAGAGAAAGTGAGAGCTGGAAAATCTGTGGTTAAAGAAGGTTCACATGGAGGTATCAGACAAAGGGCCTTCTTTTTCAACAGCTGAGTCCGATAAGAAGCACAGCTTGTAGAAGTTCTGCATGTATGGAAAGCACAGCTCTAAGGCAGGTGGCAGCCAGTGCTCACATCTGTTTAATAATGCACGTTCTATGGGGTGGCTGAGCACTCATTTTCCATCATCACAACCTTATGGCCTTCATGTTTTTTTAAAGTCTCAGGCCTAGCCTTTGCTCTAGTGTCATGTGGTTGCACAGGAGCCACCGAGTCCTAGCCATGCTTGCAAAGGGCTGGGCTCAGGCTCAGGCTGGGCCTGCCACTGGGTACCATCCTAGGGTGGGTGCCGTCTTGGGACGCTGCCCTTGGCTCCAAAGTGGCCCCTCAGTGGGTCAAGTGGGCTACTGTGCCATCCCTGGACCCACGACCTTGTGTTGAAGATGTGGGTCACTGGTGGAGAGCAGGTGTTCAGAGCAGGTGGAAAATGTAATCCAAAGCAAGGGTGTCCCTGCTTTTTCAGACTGTGTACAGCAGACAAGTGACATTGGATGATCCCCTAGACACTCCCCAAGTGCCCATTTTACCTGGCTTCTCTGCTATGTCCGATCTGCTCCCTTGCCCCTGGAAAACTTCCTGACTACTTACCCCAGTGATCCATCATATGACCCCGCTCTGGCAATGTGATACAGCTTTAGCTGCACTAATCAGCTTAGCTTGCTCCCTGCTTGTCGTCTTACTTCAGGAAAAACTTTATGCAGTGCCTGGGTAGGGCTGCTCATTTCAGAGGATTTAAATTCAAGGTGGAAAATAGCAACACAGACTTCTTCTTTGTTATTTTGAAGACAGAATTCAGTTTACCACTGTGGCTTCTAAGTCATCATTCCTCTAGAAGTAGCTGAGCTATTCATAACACACGAAGGTTTCAGTTGCATAGTAAGATCTCTGTCTCTGTTAACAAGAAAAAAAAAAGCCCCCCTGAAAAAAGCAAAAAAAAAAAACAAAAAAAAAACACAACAAAACAAACCAACAGTAATGAGTGCTTTGGCTGAAGCATTTGAGAGGTGCTCAGTCATCCAAATGAACTTAGAGACTGCATCACTTCCCTCCTTTCTCTTCCCAGCTCAAAGCAAATTGGGCTCTAGAGAAAAGAATATTGTTTGTTGCAGAGGACTGGAAACTTTCACCTTGAGCCTCAAGGGGGTTTTCAGATGAGACAGCAGGAAAGAGAAGGGGTTATGGTAAATGCATTTTGCAAATACTTCTTTTTTTTCCCCTCTCCACAGAGCGACATCTCCATGCTGAAGTGCTAGGAAAAATCAGAATTTGGTTGAGAAGTAACAGCCCAGACTCCATCTCATTAGCTAGTCAGCCAGTGATGCATGTGGGAGAAAGTATGCTGATACCTAAGTCTCCATTAGGTGAGGGCAAATCAACTGTACTATAGGGTGAAAGAATAACTAAATATGCTGCTGTGTAAGAGGAGGATCTGGCAAAAACTGAGCACCTTCCAAAACCTGAGATCCACAACCACTGGCAGATTGTCATGAGAATCTCAGCACAGCAGGAGATGGTGAACACCCAGCACACTTGTAGGTCAGGGAACCTCTCCAGACCTGCCTCAGGGCTTTCCCAGCTCAGCTGCTGCAGCAGCCTCTGCTGCCAGGCTTCTGAAGCACCATCCAGATGCAAAAGGAGGATCTAAAAAGTCCCTGTTTGTCACTTCTCCTGTCCTTTTCCCTCTCTAACAGGCCTGTCCCTGAGAGAGTTAATAATCCTGCTTTCTCAGGAGGTGAAAAGATACTTCCGTGTAGCATCCCAGGGGAGATATAGAACTGCCAGGAGTAGAAGAAGACTTTGAACATCCTCAAGGTTTTGTACTTGTGTTGTCCTCTTAGCACCCATGACTTGAATATAGTCTGGAACTGATTAACTTCACTTCGATCCTCTGGAAGGGAATGTTCTTTCAGCAGTTAAATATTCTCTCAGCATTGCACATGGACCAGACATTACAGAGGCTAGGGCTGCATTTACATTTTTTCCTCATGAACTGAAAGAGAAAGGAATATCCTCCAGTATTTCAGTGCTGCCATTTCCATCCTTCACGGTAGTGCAGTGCCAAATTCAAGCTAGCTATTCTGCTAGCTTCAGCAGCATCCCCCCAAGCCCTATGGCCATGAGATTTGCAGCTCACACAGCAGGGAGCCCATGCCACACACATAACAAATACTTTGGTTCCAAAGTACATCCTCAGAGAACAGCATGAATCACATTTCTGAGAAACACAGTATCTCTAGCACTTATAAATGCCTTTGCGTGGTATTGCATTAGGAGAGGTAGAGCTCCCCTACTCCAGCCTTCTACCCGTGGGATGACTTTGGGGATAAAAGTGATTTAGGGAGCACTACATTATAATGTGGATAAACTGGGAAAATCTGAAGAATCAGTATGGGCTTTTAGAAGTATCCCTAACTTCCTTCCAGCTCCTATCTGCAGTATCACGCTCGTGTGTGTGTGCCTTTCGCGTGCTGATACAGCCAACAGGGAAATATCACCTCCTTCCACTGCTGCCTAGCATCAAACTGGGAGTTGGGGCATTATGCTGCATTCAGGGCAAGGAGAGCAGAGAGGGCTTTCTGCCTCCTTCCATGTGAGGCTGAAGAACTCACTGAGGAAACAGTTCAGCTTATGAAGTACCCTAAGAAACCTTTCCATAGGGACTGTGCTCATTGCTCCGTCCAGGCTATGGCAGGTCAGGGAGAGCTGCTTGCCGCTCCGGGACTAGATCTTCCCCAGGACACGAGCAAGCTATTACTGCTGTGTCTGTGCCAGGGAGGAAGAGAGGGAGGCCAGGAGGTATTTTGGCTCTGTACAGCGCTGAGCAAACACAGCAGCATTTGCCTGATAGTGACCACCTGCCTGGGAATAGGTGCAATCTGTGGCCATGGCGATGATGTCCCTGCTGCTCCTCCTGGCACAGGGAGTCTCCTGTTTCCTCTGGCTCAGGAAGGGGCTCTTTTTTTTTTTTTTTTTTTCTTTCTATGTGGTGCTCATCTGTTTGCTTACTATTTCAGGCACGGGTGACAGCAATCAAAAAAACATTCCACTGCACTCAGTTAATCCATAGGAAAATCCCATGCTGGTACGCAAAATGTGGAGACTATGTTTGTGCATTTTTCCCCAAGGGCCTTCGGCAATGGAAATTTTCTCAAGCTCCATTCATTAACAAAATAGATGAGCAGTTATGTAAGATCATGTGAGGGAAGTGGTTGGGCTTTGGTCAATGAAAGAGTTAGTCACACATCAATGAGCTTGATGAGCCTGAGAAGAAATATGGAGACGCTTTTCTTATTCAAGGACTGAAAAAGGAGAATTTTAGCCTCAAATCTTCATTTTATCCTAAGCTTTGCCTCCACCTTTACATTCTTGGCATTGCAAGAGCACTGTTGTACTTAAGCAAAAACAGTATTGAAATCTGTTGAGATCTCCCTTTTCCCCTTCCCAGGTCTCTCATCTGTGCTCTGACTTAATCAACCACCTGGGGTTGGGATTTTGGGGTGCAATTGAGGCGCTGTTTCCCTCCAGCCCAGCCAGTCTGCCCCGGGAGTGCTCTGAGCATAGGTAAATTGAACTCTGTAGTAATATTTGGTGGTCACAGAGCAATAAAAATCTGCACCAAGTCTCTCAGAAACCATTAGGACATTTGACTGGGAGAGGATTTTCAAGGATCTCATCTCAAACTCAATCTTCTACAAAGTTTGCTCCTGATTCGGACTGTTGTCTCTCCTACTTTGAATCAGAGATGATAACATCATACTGAGCTTCTCTGGGAGTGATCATATGGAAAGCAGGAAATATAGGGAACCGGTGTACTCAATCAGATGTGTTCTGGAACAATATGGTCCCACTCCTCACTGGTTCTCATGCTCTCTGAGCACTGGGAGCCTTGCCAAGTGTCCACCAGGACTCTGAGCTGAGATTACCCTGGCCCTTGGCTCTTCCTAGCTTCTGCTTTGAAGCTTGCAGATCTGACTTTTAGACAATAACATTTTACAGAAGACGATCAAATGAGCTTTTTTTTTTCTTCTTTATTTGCGCTAATCCCTGCACGCTGAATAACCAGTTGCTTGTGTTCTTTCACCTTGCAGTCAGCCTCCTGAAGGTCATTGCACTATCTGAGCCGCAGAGCCTGGCTGGCAGCCTCCCCAAGACGTGGAATGGCAGTTGCCTAGCATGTCCTATTGGGAGCACTCATGACCTAAGGAGTGTGAAGGAGGCTTCGAAAGGAAACTGACGTGGGGCAGGTAGGGAGGATATGGGCAACAGGGTATAGCTGAAGCACTGCTAGATGCATGAGGACTGGGAATAAGTGAGAGCTGTGTGAATGGTATAAACCCAAGTCCTTCTCACATCCACTGCTCTGCCTTGAGAGCTGAGCTTGTGAAACCTTGGAAACCTGCTGCGTAGAGGTGCTCACAGACACATGGTGCTGCTGATGTCTCTGGGCAGGGCATCCCAACCCCATAGGAGCATTCATGGTGCATGCTTGATCCTCAGTCAGAGCACAGTTGTCTCGCCAAGTGGATGCCTTCCAGAAGGAGCCGCATTCCTGACCATGGAGAGCTGAAAGGACTGCAAATGGGATATGCCTTAAAATAGACAGAGATATAGGAACAGAGCTCATTTCCCAGGCAGCGAGGACATGTGCTGACATCTCAGGCTCTTGTTTAGAGGGAGGAGCTGCTAAAACTGCAGCTGACAGCCTTGGCTGCAAGTGTCACTGGTTGCCTTTGGGCAATTTTCACTACCTTAAAGGATGTTTGTTGAGATTGGTTTTTCTGCCAGTAAGATTTGTCTCTGCCTCTCTATAAGTCAAACAGAGTGGGAAATAGACTCCCCTTCTACAAAACTTCAAAAAACATCTGAATATTATGATGCTCACAGAAAGGATCCCCTGAGCGGTACATCATGCTGACATGTTACTTGGAAGCAGCACTTCCCTTGGAAATTATTTGGAAGTGATAAACTTCCATTAAAACTTGAAAAAAAAAAGTTTGGCAGAAGGTTCCCAGCAAATTCTACTGACACCTGTATCTTTGAGCTGCAAAGCTCACAGTTTTGTGACTGAGTGGTGTTGGGCAGCAAGGCAGAGCTTTGTGACTGCAGCCAGAGGACTCAATAGGATGAATCTTTTTGGCTGCCTTTGCTACATACTTTGGCTTTGCTCTTTTAAATAGTTGTTACACCGTCCCCGTGAAACACTATACCACAGTGTCTGTTGTTTCTGCAAAACAGTGTGTGCAGTGTATGCAAAATGCTGTTGGGGCAGTTCTCAGCAGGAAGGAAGAAACATCCACAGCAATTCAGGTGTCGCTGATGGAGAAACCCAAGCTCTGGCAAGTTGGAGCACAATAGAAGCGAGCAGAAGAATGAGAAATCAGCTTTCCCATACTGCCCATCTTGTGCTGAGCCCACCAGCCAGCACAATCTTACCGCCTTGCAGCACTGGCCACAATGTGTGGCACCAGGCGACCGCGTGAGTTAATTATTAAATAAAAAGGCGTCATTGGTCCCCTTGTCACTGCGGTCCCTCCCATAATTACGCTGTGTGGTGGAAAAATGATCGTGTGCAACAAGAACAAAGAAACCTTTTCAGGATGAGCAGCTTTTCCTTTGCTGGAGAGCTGCTCCCACTTTGCCTCCCTGGAGCTGGAAGAGTAATCCACTCGCTCTCCATAAAGGTGGAGTTCAGGAAGGAAAGATGAAAGGGATCCAGAGACAATCACGGCACTGATTTCTGTGAATAATCTCCCCAGCTGTTAGCCCAAGCCTTTTCCTTATCAGGGAGTACTGTAATAGCAGTGTTTCAGAATCTGGAAGGGAACATTTTGAAGTTAGCTTTGGCATTTCAAGGCTATCACTATTTTAACCAAGCTTCCCTGGACTTGCAGATAAAATATTAACTCTGGACTGGGTGCAGAGGCAACAGCAGGCTGTAAAGCAGTGGCACATGGGAGGAGACAGGTTCTGGGATAGAGATGGTGACATAGCATCGAGGCCTTAAAAACCACCATGTGGCTAGTTTCTCCCAACAAACACACGTACTGCCTCACCACTGCCTCTGGCTGCACATCTCAAAAAAACCAAAGGATTGCAGGTGAGTTCCGCAGATGCCTGGCACCCCAGGAGCAGACTCCTTTGCTGAAATAGCCTGTCACCTTCACTCTGGAAGGGAACAGTGGAGAGCCACTCTAGCTTCTCTGCTGTGGAGCCTCTCCAAAGCCCTTTCCATCTCACTAGTCCAGCTTCCAAGGCTAGCTGTCTCAGCCTAATGCCTGTGAAGGAACCTCTTTAAGCAGACAGCCTCTCTTGCCTCCCTAGCATCACAGTTTCACAACTCGGTGGTCTGTGGGCAGACCCACAGCATCCCCACCACTCAGTATTCCCACCACTTCACAGGCAATGGACATGAAGAGTTTTCCAGGACAGCTTTGTGTGAAATGGTCACTGCCCAGCAGAAGCAGGGCGTCTTCCAGTACGCGTCATATCGCTCAGGCTCAGCTGTGCCAATAGGTCTTGGTTTACAAATGGATTGTATTTACTTACAAATGCAAGAGAGTCCGGTTTGTAGATAGAGTCAAATTACAAAGAAAATAAACAAATGTCATACAGAATTAAGATTAACATCATCTCTTTAGATACTTTAGCATCCTGTTTAGCTGACTGGCTTGTGTGGGGCCTAAGCCAAAACTAAAATGCTGGGAGAAGTCCTAGAGCTTCATCTTTCTTGCTTCTGGCATTAAAGATAATGGGGAGACACCAGAGCAGAGGTTCTGTATGACCAGCTCCTTCCTTCACCTAAGGGGAATGGACAAGCTCCTTTGCAAATCATAGCTTCTGTGGTTGTTGTGATGGGAAAACGCTTGGAATTAAGTTATTCTGTGTTATTTGTGTTCAAGAAACATTTAGATGTTGTACTGAGAGACATGTTTAGTGGGGAAACATTAGTGATAGGTGGACAGTCGGAGTGGATGATCTTGTAGATCTTTTCCAAAATTGGTGATTCTATGATTCTACATTTTTTTCTCCCCTTCTTCCCAAAGAGCCCTTCTTTATTTTTCTGCTTTACACTCAGTCTGAATGCTGCTCCTGAATTCTGAAGTCAAAGTGTTTGATCGGCAGCCCCCACACCAGGTACACATTGCAGCAGGCACAGCCTGCGCCCTTCTGCCTTTGCTTGGAAAGAACAGGGACAAATATTAGTTTCTGATGAAACAGAATGTCTTCACTTTGTTAGGGACAGTGCACCGATAATGGCTCTGCCTCACATTCTTGGCCAGCCTTGTGCCATGCCCTGGGAGCATGCCAAACTTGCATTCAGGTGATCCTGCACTATCTGAGAGGAAAGGCAGAGCCAATGCCCACTCAACTGGACTTTGTCCTCCTGATGGCAGGCAGGTTATGAAACGTCAGTCCCCACGTGTGCTGGCATGGCAGGAAGATTCTTGTTCTCACAATAGCAGCATTCTCTGCAAACTCAGCTGGGAAAGATGAGCACAAAATTAAACCTGAATGCACGCAGGCTTAGAGCCCTTTTCAAAAAGATCTCATTAGCCTTTGGCAGTACCAGAGGCAACAGCTGCTGGTTGGATGGGCTTTCACAGCAGCACTGGAGGGTGGCATGTGTTTGCACATATATATATATATCTGTACTTGCATATGCTTTCTGTATCTGTAGACTAAATGTCACAGGTTCTCATGGACAACCATGCAATCTGGATGCTGCCTTGGGCAGCTGCTCTCAGCAGAGCTTTGTAGGTTGCCTCCACAGACCCTGGGCACATGGAACACATCTTTGCCAATGCAGTTAAGCCCTCCTGTCCAGAGATGCTTTCAAAGTGTGAGAAAATCCCGTTCTGGCTTCAGTTACTCTTTCAAAGGGCGGGTTTATCTATTGCGTCAGTACCTTTGTGCTGGGATCCAGCAGGACGAGGCACATCCTCTGAGCATGCATTGGCCCTGTGGCTGTTTGTAAGTAAGAGTTAATGGGGGGATGAGGCTCTGGAGAGTAACCTGCTGTTCCTTCCAGGATCAGAGACAGAGGTTTACCTCCGAGCTCACTTTGTACCACAGGAGCTCTGTTTGTGCCCCAATGGATGGAGCAGGACAGAGTGCTGGGGGACAGAATCATAGAATCACAGAATCATTGAGGTTGGAAAAAAACACTAAGATCATCTAGTCCAACCATCAACCCATCCCCACTGTGCCCGCTAACACATGTTCTTCAGTGCCATGGCAGTTCAGCAGCGTGGCTGCCATTTCCCACAGCCTGCCCTCTTATTGGCAATCAGATTAGCTGACACAGGCAAGGGAAAATGTTTACTCAGTTTGAGACTGGCGGTCCTTGTTTTGAAAGCAGAGTTTTATCCTCAGCCCTAACTTCTCCCTGCACAGCATTAATCACTGGTCTGGGAACTGAGGATTTGAACGATCTCCAGAGCTGTACAAGCACATTTGGTGACTCTCAGCAGTGCTCTGTAAATAAGTCCCAGCAGGGAGCTCTGCAAGCAGACTTTTTGTCTTTTGTGAGCAGGAGGGCCTTTTCCCCATGTTGTTCAGATGGATGGACAGTGCAAGCGAAGGGCTGCGTTATTTTGCTGGGACAACAAAAGTACCACAAAGAACAATCTGAAGCCACCAATTTACAGTCCAACCACCCGCTTCTTTGCAGCCTAGCAAGAGCAGGATTTGTATCAGGGAGGCAGGAAGCCAGCTGTGTGGCAGAAGCAGCTGTGTCTTGACATCATCTTTGTCCCTCAGCACGTGTGTGTTACAACACAGGCCGTAATTACACAAGTGTGAGCTCGCCTTACCCACAGGGCCTGGTTTCTTAAAAAGCTTTTTGTGCCTGCCAGAGGAAAGGTGTGGTTTGAGAATGCAAATTCTTCTCTAACGCTTTGTGGCGGACTTCTTGAGCAGGGCATCCTGCTGCAACTGCAAGCAAGGGATGCCCTAAGACTTCACCAATATATATTTTTAACATTTCCCTTTGGGAAATGATGCTTTTTGGAGAATTTCTATGGAATGTTGCAGAAATTCTTTGTGTACACGTGCTTATGGTTGAAAATTTTGAAAAAAAAAAGGAATGTGCCTTTTAAAGTACTCATTTCTCTTAATGGGCTATTTTACTCTTAAGAAATAGCTGGATTTTTTGTTGTATTTCTTTTCCTGATGTGCAGTATTGCCTACCCCTGGGAGCCTGATGCTATCAGGGAACACTCAGATTATTGAACCACCAAGGTTA